GAGACCACGGGGGCGGGGAGGGCGGGCAGCATGACCCCGCTCGTGGCAACGTTGACTTGGATCGCCATAAGCTGACCGTGAAACCGCATCCCCAAAACGTCTCCCAGGATGGTTCTAGGAAATCCCCTCCGCCACGGGAAGCACCCCTAGTAGCACAGACCCGATCCCCAATTCGTCTTTTCCTCCCTACCACAGCAGGCAATGCAGGTTACCCGGACTATGAGAGGATTACATCTCATTTTCGAGCACAGGCAGATACAAACTAAAATATCCTCCTGTTCCCTAAGACAAACAGCCATTCCCATGCTGTGAACTGCACGGAGCCAACACGTTGGTCTGGGGCACGATGGTGAGGAGCAGCAGGGAGACCTTCGTCCCTCACTCACCCACGGCAGACACCCGTAACGACTGGATTACTTGGTGCTTCAGTCCCTGCATGAAGCTAGGATCCTGATATGGTATTTAATCCTCTTCTATATGTTATTGTCCTCAGTTACAGTGAATAGTTTACCGAGCAGCACAACTGTTTAATAGTAGCACATGACTACTGAATTTAATAATGCTGGAAGCAAGTCTTGTTACGTCTACCCCAGAAGTGTATCTTCAAAGCGTAGCAAGGAAGAAACTCAACCCATCAGTCAGTAATATTCTCACTCTGCTCTCACAGCTGGAGCTGCATCTATCAAGACGCGCTACAGAAGACTGGGAGAACAAAGATAACCAAATGCTACCACCTTTCTTCCTCTCCACCATTGCCTCTCCTAAGGTTGACCACATTTGTGGTTAAATGCAGGGAGTCAAACTTCCTATAAGCAGTGCCATTACGGTTCCAGATTTCCACTGTGGTTCAGCTGTATCACTGCTCTGGAAAGGCAAACTGGCATAGGCTCAAACCACTGCTCTCACTCACTAAGGTGAAAAAATTTCGTATTGCAACTTGTAAAACGTTCCTACCCAAATCGCCTCACTGGCCTGCTTTCTTAAAATTCTCAATACCGAACTTAAAAAAAAAAATTAAAACATCACTTTGTTGAACTTGGTAGTCTGGATAAAAACACTTAGTGAAGGGACTGATGCAATTTCACCGTGCCAGCGGCGAGTTAAACCTGGAGAGGCAGAAGCCCAGCTCCTCAGGATCCCCAGCGCACGCCTCGTTCCACTGCTCCCGAGAAGGTCTCCTGCCCCGCCGTCACAAGCCCCAAGCCCGGATATGCACATGTTGTCTTTCTGTCCACGCAATCAAAAGCCTTCATCAGTTCTTTTTCAGTTTGAAGCTCGCATCACTGAGATCAGTGGTCCAATCTCAGCCACAGCCAAGATGCTAAATGCAGCTGGCTGATCTGGTAGCAGGTCTAGCAACTTGTCCCCTCAGCAGCCCTCAGACAGCAAGACTGAGGAAGACACAGTCTCCACGAACTCACAGGCACTCCAAGCATCCACCGGTAAATGCAGCTCCTCACAAGAAGAGAAGCTCCTAGGTTCGTCCTGAAAAAAGGATCAGCTCGTTGCAAACTGGACGGTGAGGCATGCTCATTGCTGGAGCATTTTTCTGAAGAGAAAAATCAGGCCAGGTATCACAACCATGTGATGGTAGTTAAAGTAGATCTAAGAAATTCAGAGTTTCAACTCCACTACTGAAAGCAACGGGAAACTATGAGAAAGCTGACGTTTCTCCACCCCATGCAATTACACGCAAGAACAAGGAAGGAACTGGCCATGGGCCTGATCAATATTGCCATCCAAAAGATTCCCATCTCACATGGGTGGGGTGCAGATGCACGTGCATAAAGGTCTCCCCCATGTAGGTGTGCCGCTGCATCAGCCCTGCCTTGCATGCCTACCTCAGCAGGTACGCTGGTCTGAACTAAGTTACACTCCACACTTCTCCTCAGAGAAAGGCAGACTGTGGACCTTGCCACATTCTTAATTCAAGATAACACCTAATTCAAAATGCTGGCTGGGAAGATCATTGCACTTGCTCCAAGCTGGGGCTCGTGCCCATGCGGCGGTACTCAAACATGAGGCAGAGTGACAAAGACGACAAAAAGCATCGTCTCTGGCATTCAGGGAGAGGTGAAATTCTTGTAGAAGGTGTCCAGCACTACTTTGCAGCAGAAGGAACGATACATTTTTGTACAATTTGTTCAACATCAACCAAATGGTCTGAGGCTGAATCACAGAATGGCTTGGGTTGGAATGGACCTTAAAGATCATCTGGTTCCAACCCCCCTGCCATGAGCAGGGACACCTTTCACCAGACCAGGTTGCTCAGAGCTCCATCCAACCCGGCCTTGGACACTGCCAGGGAGGGGGCAGCCACAGCTTCTCTGGGCAACCTGTGCCAGTGTTTCACCACCCTCATGGTGAAGAATTGCTTCCTAATATCTAATCTAAATCTGCCCTCTTTTAGTTTAGAGCCATTCCTCCTTGTCCTATCACTACACACCCTTGTGAAAAGTCCCTTTCCATCCTTCCTGTAGGGTCCTTTCAGGAATCCAGACAAAGTATCTGACAGAGGCTTTCCAGGAGGAAAGCAGCCCTTCCAGGACTATCATAGCTGCCAGCCAGCCGACTGTCCCTCACCTTCGAGGCATGACATGCTTGCACGACCAGTGAGAGAGCTGGGGCTGCCCGGGTGGGCAAGCACATTTGTCTGGAGCTTAGGGCTGTCCCTCTTGTGTCACTTCACTTCTATGCGAAATTCAAGAACTTTAGAACTCTTCCAGACCTGTTGGCTTTTTCCATTTCAACAAGGCATCGCCACCAAAGGAGTCAACAGGCAAGCTCAAGTATCTGATATTTTTAGCTAGATATACTATAGCATCTCAGAGATGCCTAGAGTTTTCTCCCTGCAGAGGAGATTCCTCCCTTCTCTGTCGCCAGTCCAGCAGAGTTTGGGGGCTGCTCTTCACACGTTGAGACAACAGAGCTCTTCAAACAGCTGGGAAAACCACGTTTCTCCACTTCATATGAAGCACTGGCAACAAGTATGACGCCTGTCTGGTACAACTGGTGCTGCTTTCCCCCCCTTGGAGGAAGCAAGGAAATGTGTTCAAAATGGCACTGAGGCAAACGGAAGAGCTAACGTGTAGTCAAGAAAATAAAAACTGGACAAATCTGAAGGGGAAAACAAAAAGGCTGAAATTCTGATCCTTTCTTACTAAATACAGAATGATTCGGTAACTCTTGATCCACTTGGAGGCAGAAAGACCCCATTTTGGCCTTAAAGAAAAGAGTCCATCTTCGTCTCTGCATTGCAGATGAGAACAATCACATTTTTGCTTGCTCTGACTTATTGCTAAATTGATTATTCTCCAGGACTGGGAAGGAGGGGGAAAGGAAGGAGATGGTAAGCACCCTTATAATATTTTTTTAGAGGGTGAAAGAACTGAATGCATCTTACTTTTCCTAGCAACCCTCTTTCCTAATTCTGAAGCAAATACATCACACTAAGGATAGTACACTGAGCATATGGCTTTCTCTGAATAAGGGGAATTTGCCTGCCTACAGGCTTGCTTTTCATTTCTCTCTCTTTTTTTTAATTAAATATGTCAGTCTCTGGAATTCCCTACATATTCCAGCTCACAGCAAAGTGGATTTCTGTACCCACCCCCCAAAAAAAACAACAAAAAAGCTTTATTAGTATTAACTTATTTCTGTTCACAGAAGGCTGTACCTAAGCTTAATATCTAGCCAACGCCACGCAACCTGTTCACTACTGTTGCATTCCCTTCCCACATATTCAGCAAAAGCTGATGATGTTACCGAGACGAGGAAAGTGAAGGACTTCAGCATCCCAAGGCCAGCAGCAACATGAAGAGCATCTTTAGAGAACGGGTCACAAGCAAACAATGTTGGAGGCCTCCAAAGGATCTTGCACCTTTCTTTAACACCTTTCTCATGAACACCTACAAAGCGCATGGCTCCAAGCGCAGCACCTCATGGGATATGTTTTCATTTTGCCATTTCCTTCTCCATGCACAAGGCACCCTGTGTTGCATGGTCTGGACTTTGAATGCTCCCTGGTCTTTCTGTAGTGCCGCTGAAGCGGAGGACCACGGGGAGGGATGCTGCTAACCCCTAGAGAGCTGGAAGAGCCTTCCTGCAGGGGCCTCGCAGGCTCCCGGTTGCGAAGCGGTTGTTGCGAGGGCCCTGAGGAGAGGGGAATGCCCCCTGAAGAACCTCGCTCCCCTACCTGCAATCCAAGGAGGCAGCTGGTGGCAAGGCACAGAAGACAATGGCAGAGAAGTTTGCAACGGTCTGCATTTTTTTAAGGTAAAAAACGAGCAACAAAAATGTGACTAGCGATTGAAATCAGAAAGGAAACTGAAGTGGTTTTATAGAAAGAAGCGTGAACCAAAGTCATACCAAAAGCCACCTGAATTTTTCTTTGGCTATCATGTGCCATTTCCCATGTTCATTGATGTCATCTTCGTGGTGTCAGTTTTCAAGAGAACAATTCTCGGCTCAGCACGACAGAACAGTAATACCGACGGGCATGCGGAACATTAGCATGTTATAAATAAACTGCTAATTTGAGGTGGGAAAAGATCATCAAGGCAGTTCTTATGATTAAGAACCAGAGAAAGAAAATGAGCAACTTGCTTATGCTTTCAGGACACTGCTTTTTCACAAAAAGGGCTTTTTCTAACCCCCAGTTCCTGAGGGGAAAAAAGAATAAGCCCAGTGAAACACCCACTGTCAAGACAAAGCAGCCGGTGAAAATGCTATTATAATTTTTAAAGCCCTCCCTGCCCCCACCTCAAGTAGCAAGTTGTCTTTTCTACCGGCTGAAGAGCTTTGTGCTTAAAAAGAGTACTACAGCAGAGTTGTGAAGTTTCGGCTTCCTCTCACCCGACTCGCAGTTTTACGTAACCCCCAAGAGACATTTTTAGGCTGCAGATCCCGCGCAGCCATTTTTAGGCGCGAGACCCCGCGCAGCCGAAAAAAAAAAAAAAAAAGAGAAGGAGGTGCAGAACTATTATACAGCAACTTGGATCTGGGTTACTTGGAGCTGCTCGATAAAAGTCTTGCCATGAAAAGTAAAACTTTATTCTGCCGAGCCGACGGCCAGCATTATCCGTGCTCGCCATAGCCCTGATCACCCCCCTCCCCCTGCCCCGCGTGGGGTTCCCTTCCCACCCCGGCCCCGGTCTGCAAGGACAGATAACGCCCCGCCGCGACACGGCTGCCACCTCGGGTATTATTTCTGCACCACGCCGGCATTGTCGCTCTTTACCAGCGTGCCACTTACTAAGCAACAGTATAAAAATTTCTGCGAATATCTATGTTGGCCACGAGCGGGGATAATGGCCTCATTGCCATAGCCCTGATAAAAGCTCCAACAAGACAGCTTTCAGATATCGCCAGACAAAAGCCTTCTGTGAGAGCTGCAACCAACATCAATTCCCGCTATGCGAAGACATTAGACAAAGTGTGAACTAGCTTACTGTACAGGGACAAAAAACTGACTGTCAACGTGTAGGACCGACGCTGCCTGAAAACACGAC